CTTATCTAGCAAGAGCAAGGCTCTGGGTTCGGTCTTCAACTCTGGGGGAAAAAATGGTATTTGGTAGTTATTACATGTCAACAGACTCAGAGATGCTGATTAAAGAAAGTATGAAGTTTCTGTGCACATTATAACTTCTACCATTCTGATCAACTTGCTTTCCAGAGCTGATCCAAAGCCAAAGCCTCTGCAAGAAAAGTGTAGGAGCAGAGGACACAATAGGAATGAGGTTGAAATCCAGACTCAAGTAATGGCCCTATCTGAAAATTTTAAATAGTTAAAAAGTATAATTTTCTAATGACTCAAATGATTTTATTCAAAGAACAAGGTAATTTGGGGAATGACTTCTAGGGACTCTTGATAAAAAAAATTAAAGAAAAATAAAAAACCTTTTTACTGCAGTATGATAGGATTTTCTGTCACTAAACACTCGGTTCTTATTAGAAGATGTCAAAAGCATGTAAGTGAAGCTGAAGAGGAGTTTATACGACACAAAAACTTCCACTGCGCCAGAAGCAAGCGTTGTTCTCAGTGTGGATTGAGTGCTGGTAATTTGAAGGCACATTAAGATGATAATGACTGAGCACAGAAAACAGGGAACAGATAAGACAAGGGGCATCTCTCAGGACAAGTTTTTAATGAACTGGAGCATTGGGAAGAAACACTCATTTTTCAATATAATAAACACAATTGGAGGACTTAAAGCAGAAGCTTGATACTTTCTTATGTCTGTCTAAACATTCACTTTAAAACAAAATGGAGACTCTCAAGACATGGGAAGCAGCAGGGAGGTTATTGTAAGAGTAAAAGATGAAAGAGCCTCTACTAGAATATTCAAACATGATATGAATTAGAATTGTCAACGCATCCACTGTGGTTTTTTCTAACTTATCTCACTGCCTGTCGCTGCTTGACCACAATAGTTAGCAGTAGCAGAGTGGCAGTGATTACAAACGCTTTCAGAAAATTTCCCAAAGAATCTAGAAACCAAACAGCTTTACTATGGTGATTGGAAAACAGAGCATGCAAAGTGTGATTTTTCATCGTTACATTCTTCAGAGAGAAAGTTAACACCTGTCTTAGTTCAATTAGTAAATTAACAGCACAAAACCAACAATAACTAAACACTTACCGTAGCAAGTCAATTTACCTCAGCTTCCTGGGCTCAATCAAGTGGGAAAACATTTAAAAATATACATACCCAAGCTGGGGCTAGAGAGATGGCTCAGTCACTAAGAGCACTAGCTGTTCTTCCAGAGGATCCAAGTTCAATTCCCAGTACCCACATGGCAGCTCACAGTTGTCTGTAACTCCAGTTCCAGAGTATCTAAAAATCTCATACAGATATACATATAGGAAAAACACCAATGAACTTAAATGAAAATTAAAAAAATAGTATACCCAAGGAACAGGCAAGACACAATTTTTTATGCTTTTAATGAACTTTATCAAATACAAGTAAATAAAATAGCTGAATCTGTTCTGTTTATGTCCACATCACTTTTTGTAGCCCTCACAGTAGGAATTGGTTGATGAAGAAAAGAGTGTTTGTAGGGTTTTTACACTGTATGCTGAGTGGTCTACACTAGCAGGTATAGCCAAGGTTTTAGAAAACTACCACCACCTATTTGACCCAAATTTTAACTTTCTAGACTAGAGGAAGCCATTTGTTACCAATTACCTGATCTATATCTCCAACCTCCTAACTTAACTGACAATTAAATTAACATAGTTATCACTAATGAAGCATGTTTTACATAGTAAGTTTAAATCTACATAAATGATGTAATAATTTACTTGCAGAACTTTATTCTAGTAGGTAGCATCTTTTAAGGAGAATTGAGTGGAATCTCTATCCAATCTACAATTCAAATGTTAAAAGGAAAGTAAGTGCAATTTAAAAGTCTCCTTACCATACAGCTGTAAAATGTGCTATAAAGGAGCATACAATGTGGTTTAAAATCTATAGTACCAATGAAAATCTCCCATAAAGCTGCAGATTTCCAAAACAGGGCTTTAATAACTCAAGTTTCATAAATTAAAATAAAGTCAAATGTATTCTACTTTCAAAGAAATGAATGTGACCTCTTCATGCAAAGATGCAGTCTTCTTTACTTTCAAATATGTCTCTATCACTAATTTTCAGACTTTTTATCCCCATAATACTGTAGATATAATCTCCCAAGTCAGTACAGGTCCTTTACCTGCATGCAAGGCAGAAGTTTACAGCATTTCTTATTAAAGACTACAGAATGAGGCAAAGGAAAAGGGAGACTTCTGTTTTTTATAGCACTAATGTCATGCTTCTCTCCTTAACACTGATGTATTTCCAGTGCTGCTGGAGGATCTATTACCCAGAACTGGCAAAGCTTTGCCTCAGCAGGAGTTGTCGAGTGCTAAGTGGTTTATGGATTTGAATGTTGAGGCAATCTGCAAGCAGCTAAGGAAGGAGGAAACAAAGAACAACAGATTGGATAGGGCTTGCACTTTGGCATGCCAAATATGGGTTTTGCTTGTAAGTTAATGAATTAATTGCTTTAGTTGAAACAATCCATTTCTATTATGGCACATCTGGTGATAATTATGAAATGTGTAAACAATGGAAATGTGTATTTTCCAACCAATAAATAGAAATCATTAATATTGATAACAGCCAAGTTGAAATTGTATCCCCTCTCTATTACTGTCTATATGTAAAACACAACATATAATTCTGACATGTAATTATGGACAAAATAAAAGATCCTTCCTGAAATTCACAAAAAGGAATTTTATAAATGTAGTGATAGGTTTATATAACTACTGGACCTTCATTATTATCTGTAGGCTAAACTCAACACATTTAGGAAATAGCAAATGATTTAATTTTAGATTCACAACAATCATTTGTGAAGCATAAACAAAGTAAAAGTAATTTTTGCGGAAAATCCACTGAATTATCTCCTATACAAATTTGTATTATTTTAATGTGTTCTTTATTTTTAACTGGTCCCAAAATTATTTTTAAGCTAAAATGAGATGGAAGAATATTAAAAATAAGATAGTTATTTGAACCCAAAGAATTAAATTAAAAATTTAAGACAATGGTTTACAACCTTTCTAATGCTATGACCCTTTAATACAGGTCCTCATATTGTGATGAAATGACCCCAACCATAAGATTATGATCATTGTTACTTCATAACTGTAATTTTGCTATTGTTATGAATTGTAATGTAAATATATTTGGAGGTAGACGTTTGCCGAATGGTCTCCACCCTCAAGCTGAAAACTGCTAATTTAAGAGAATATTATAGTTTTTATTACAGGCTAATACAGATTACAGTCAAAGTAACATTTCTTCTGTGTCTTTCCTCAAACACAGCAGGATAATTCAATGCTTGTGTGTACTCCCAGGAGACAACCATTTCAGTAAGTCACTCAGCTGATGCTGATGCTGACTGACTGTGCAGTCTGTGAGCATGGTCTCCTGTTGAGCTTGTTCCTGGAATGATGGTGGTAGGCTTCAAGGGTGTGCTTACCTCATTCCCCAGCCTTTTGCCAGACTATTTTGCAAGGTGGTGAATATGACTTTGTCTTCTTTAGCATGCTCTGCTTCATTCAGCTTTCTTCATCTTGTTCAACTGAAATGTAAAGCATCAACTGAAGGAATGAGCTCAGCTGTGCTTCAGGCAGCTATTCTCCATGTCTGCTTTGCTCAGAACGGGAGCCAGAGCTAACCAACTCTTATCCCCTGAAATCTTATAGCCCTGTTTGAAACTCACTTAGAGATGATGCCCAACTTAGTTTCCCCAAAAGGAGAGGTTACACACTGTGAGGATTGTACAACAGAAAGCCAGGGGTGTGGTATCCTGCAAAACCTGTGTTGGCTACATTTTGACCAATTCAGCTTGGTTTTCAAAAGAAATTCTGGCCTGGTGGTGGTGGCACAGCTGGGCAGTGGTGGCACATGCCTTTAATTCTAGCACTTGTGAGGAAGAAGCAGGTGGATCTCCATGAGTTCGAGGCCAATCAGGTCTACAGAGTGAGTACCAGGATAGACAGGGCTACACTGTGCAACCCTGTCTCAGAAAAATAAAAAAAAAAAAAGGAATCCTGAAAATTCATAGTTAGAAACTCACTGAAACAGACGTAAGTATAGTTACATAGATGATCAATAAGTAGATGAGAGAGAAATACAGACACACATATACACAACAGACAGACAGACAGAGAGAAAGACACAGAGGAAGGGAGAAAATTTTCCCACTAAAAAATTTAAGGACATTGAAAAATAACTTATGATTATTTGGGGATTAAAAACAGAGACAAGCATTGGTCAGGAAGAAGTCTCTGCTTCTTCCCAAGTGTGGCAGTTAATGGGACATAGCACAGGTGTCTCTGATAGAATTCCAGACCCCAAGGACAAGACAGATTACCCAGCTACCCTGCACTTTCTTTTCTTCTGTTTTTGTATAAGAGAATGCAAGGTAAGCACATTCCCAAGGGAAAAATGGATGTTAGCTATTCCATACCCTCTCCAGCAATTTTCTTTCTAGGCAGGTAGGTTTTAGCTAAAGGGAAGAATCTTGCATTTGCTCTCCCAAAAGCCTTTTGTGACAAATGACAGCTGTATTAACCTTGTGGACAGGTGTGCTGAAATAGAGAATTATTGCATCTATATTATACTCGACGCTGATTCCGCTCACTCTAGGCAATTCCCGGCCTACATCCTTTAAACAGTTTGAGGAAAAATTGTATCAGAGGATTTTTTTCTTCTTTTTTTGATAGAGTAACTATAGCTAGATCGTGATTAACGACTCTTGCAGCTGCACCCTTTCCAAAGTACATGAAGCAAATGAGGTGAAGAGATCTTAAGCTGTAAAAGGAATATTAACAATAACATTGTGCCACAGGAAAGGCAGCATTGGTCCAGAAACCATCCATCAGGTAAGGAAGCATTTGCCTAAAGGACTCTTTCATCCCATGTATATTTTCTCTCAGGAGCATCTATAACCAGGACACAGAGACTTCATCAAAAACATGATTACAGGCACATCACAGGCTGACTGTGCTGTCCTGATTGTTGCTGCTGGTGTTGGTGAATTCGAAGCTGGTATTTCCAAGAATGGGCAGACCCGTGAGCATGCACTTCTGGCTTACACCCTGGGTGTGAAACAGATAATTGTTGGTGTCAACAAAATGGATTCCACCGAGCCACCCTACAGCCAGAAGAGATACGAGGAAATTGTTAAGGAAGTCAGCACCTACATTAAGAAAATTGGCTACAACCCTGACACAGTAGCATTTGTGCCAATTTCTGGTTGGAATGGTGACAACATGCTGGAGCCAAGTGCTAATATGCCTTGGTTCAAGGGATGGAAAGTCACTCGCAAAGATGGTAGTTCCAGTGGAACCACCCTGTTGGAAGCTTTGGATTGTATCCTGCCACCAACTCGTCCAACTGACAAGCCTCTGCGACTGCCCCTCCAGGATGTCTATAAAATTGGTGGTATTGGGACTGTCCCTGTGGGCCGAGTGGAGACCGGTGTTTTAAAACCTGGCATGGTGGTGACCTTTGCTCCAGTCAATGTGACAACAGAAATAAAGTCTGTTGAAACGCACCATGAAGCTTTGAGTGAAGCTCTTCCTGGGGACAACGTGGGCTTCAACGTGAAGAACGTGTCTGTCAAAGATGTTAGACGTGGCAACGTTGCTGGTGACAGCAAAAATGACCCACCAATGGAAGCTGCTGGCTTCACTGCTCAGGTGATTATCCTGAACCACCCAGGCCAAATTAGTGCTGGCTATGCTCCTGTACTAGATTGTCACACAGCTCACATAGCATGCAAGTTTGCTGAGCTTAAAGAAAAGATTGATCGTCGTTCTGGCAAGAAGCTGGAAGATGGCCCGAAATTCTTGAAGTCTGGTGATGCAGCCATTGTTGATATGGTTCCCGGGAAGCCCATGTGTGTCGAGAGCTTCTCTGACTATCCTCCACTGGGTCGTGGGTGTCATCAAAGCTGTGGACAAGAAGGCTGCTGGAGCTGGCAAGGTCACCAAGTCTGCCCAGAAAGCTCAGAAGGCTAAATGAATATTATCCCTAACACCTGCCACCCCAGTCTTAATCAGTGGTGGAAGAACGGTCTCAGAACTGTTTGTCTCAATTGGCCATTTAAGTTTAATAGTAAAAGACTGGTTAATGATAACAATGCATCGTAAAACCTTCAGAAGGAAAGGAGAATGTTTTGTGGACCATTTTTTTGTGTGTGTGGCAGTTTTAAGTTATTAGTTTTCAAAATCAGTACTTTTTAATGGAAACAACTTGACCAAAAATCTGTCACAGAATTTTGAGACCCATTAAAACAAGTTTAATGAGAAAAAAAAAAAAAACAATGTTCCATCGAGCACATCTGCAGACTTTTGGATAACCTCACTCTCGGTGTCCAGATGACAAGGTATAAATTAATTGATGAGAATTCCTTGTTCAAAGTTGTCAGTCTCTGAGAAGAAATAGTAGGCCTGAAGGCCTGATCAATATTAGGTTTCTGTTGATAGGCTGTTACCTCCATGAAGATGTATCCTTACCTCACCTCCCGGAGTCTTCAGTGACTTCAACTCTTTTTCAAAAGCATCTCAAGTTATACTCAATGTTAAACAAACTTCAGTTGGATACTGGCTGAATTTTTTTTCCTTCTCACATATGCAAACATTCTTTGCTTATCATTGTTTTTTAAACATAGTTAAATATTTATAAAGTCATTTGGTTGCTTTTTAATTTAAATTATCTTAGATGTGAGAATTGAATCTTTGTACTATCTATATCAAACATTTGCCCAAACAATATATTCTCTTTTTAAAGCCATAGCCAGGTCCTGATGAGCAAGTGAAAAGTAACAGAATAAGAACATGGTCATTATTAGTAATGGGATGGGATAATTTTTAAAATTCAGTGTTCTATGGAGAATATCTTTTTGAAATACTTCAGACGTAAAATAGGCAACATGCATTTTCCTGTCAACTAGACCTACGATGACTTTGGTTATTGGCTTAGTGCGAGGCTATCATATGAAATGCTTTATAGTATCCTGTTGAATAAAGCCAAGGGATGGCATCTCATGCAGGTCAACTTTAAAGATACCAGGTGGGGCCAGTACAAGGGTCCACTGGGCATTTCCAACCATTTTTTTTTTGAGACATCTGTAGCTTTGAAGCCTGTCCTGGAACTAGCTCCTGTAGACCAGGCTGGCCTCGAACTCACAGAGATCTGCCTGCCTCTGCCTCCTGGGTGCTGAGATTAAAGGCATGAGCCACCACTGCCCAGCACTAACCATTTTTTATGAAACTTCAGCACCTCACTCCTAAAAAATGCCTAAAGTACATCTTATTGAATAGCACCAGATATCAGTATATTTCTGTGCTTGCATTGTGAAATGGCAATTGGATTTTGATTTTTGCCCATGAGAAAGTTCATAGCGGAAGCAGCTGAGCTTGTTTTCACGCTTGTGCTTCAACAGAGGAAAGGAACACTGGCTACATGCAGAGTGGTCTCAGAGGATCTTTCCTCGTGAAGAAGCAGAGCAACGTTTTCGGTTTCTCAATATTTTAAGTTTTTGAACGCTATGATGATAGTGTGATACCTCTACCAACTCGCTTTATTTGAAACCAAAAGTGTTATGTTATGGGAAAAAAGAACTTCAAACCTGAAAGTGGTGTAAAAATATTTCTTTTATAAATGCACACTAATTTCTAAATCATAGAAAAGTTTCAAATATAGTCTAGAATGCCCATAAATTCTCTCCACATTCCATGGGCATGATTTTTTATTTTTTTCTTTTATAAATACCTCGTTTTAATTTGTCATTTTTATACACATATATACTGAATTTTAGTCATTTTCCCGCGCGTTTAGCTTCTCTTATTCTTTCTATCTCCTTCCTGGAACTTGTTCCATCCCAGCAAGCCTCTATCTCCTTTATGTCTTTAATCCTGTAACTTAGTTTAATGAGAGCTGCTTCTATGAGCATGGTAAGATGCCACTTTCTAGAGCACAGACAACTCCCTAGTGTCACCACCAATTCAGGATCTGACAAGCCTCCCTAGCAACCATTAGCAAACAATAGCTCCAGAGGGAGGGGAAGTGCTTTATTCTCACACTAAAAGGCTGCAGTCTGTGCAGCTGTGTGTTCGGGAGTGCAAAGGTCATGTACTCAGACATGTGCTGGCAGCACACTTCCCCAGATTTGGGCTTTTATATGCCCCATTTACATACAATTTAGAAATTTTACAAATCAACTTTCTAATTAAAAATTGTTTCCTTTATTTATTCTTCTCATATATATTACATCTGAACTACAGTTTCCCCTCCCTCCACTCTTCCCAGTCTCTTCCCCCACATCCCCTCTTTCTTACATCCACTCCACTCCTTTCCCTTAAGAAAAGGGCATCACTCTCAAGGATATCAAGTTATAATAAAACTAGGCACATACCCTTATATTAAGACTGGATGAGGCAACTCAGTATGAGGATTAGGTTTCCAAAACCAGGCAAAAGAGTCAGAGATACCCACCTCTCACTGTTAGGAGTCCTACAAGAACACCAATCTTTACAACCATAACATAAATGCAGAGGAACTAGGTCAGACTCACACAGGTTTCCTGATTGTCAATTCGATATCTGTGAGCTCCTGTGAGCCCCAATTAGTTGCTTCTGTGGGCCATCTTCTCCTGTGTCCTTGACTCTTCCAGCTCTTACAACACCCCGCATTTTCTGCAGGGTACCCCAAGGTCCTCCTAATGTTTGGTCTCTGCATCGACTCCAGTCAGTTGCTGGATGAAGCCTCTCTGATGACCATTATGCTAGACTCTGGTCTACGAGTAGAGCAGGGCATCATTAGGAATCATTCCATTGACTTTTTTTTCCAGTTATGTTTGGTTCTATCCTAGGTTTCTGAGCTATTGGGCCTCTAGGTCCTGGCACCCCAGGCAGTGTCAGGGGTGGACTTCCTCACATAGCATGGGTCTCAAACTGGACCAGTCACAGGCTGACCACTCCCACAAGTTCTGTGACATTTGCAGGCAGGTCAAGTTGTAGGTCTAAGGCTTTGTGACTGGGTGGGCCCTAATTCCTCCAGTGCAAGCCTTGTGTGGTTACAGGAGATGACTGGTTCAGACTCTATATCCTGTATCACTAGGAGTCTTTGCTAGGGACATCCTGATAGATTCTTGGGAGTTTCCATTGTACTAGTTTTCAACCTCACCCTTGAAATGCTCCCCAATTCTATTAATCTCTCCCAATACTCTCTCCATCCACCTGCCCACCAGATACCTATGGTTCTCATTTCTATACACACCTAGTACACCTGCAAAATCTGTTCTACTTCCCCTTGCCAGAGAAAGTCATGTGTATCTCTTTGAGCCTTCCTTGTTACTTAGCCTTTCTGGGACTGTGCATCATAATATGATTATACTTTACTTAAGAGCTAATGTCCACTGTTAAGTGAATACCTACCATGGCTGTGTTTCTGAGTTTGGGTTACCTGCCTCAGGGTGACATTTTTGCCCAAGTTACATTCATTTGCCTGCAAATTTTATAATTGTTTTAAACTGTTGAATAAAACTTCATTATGTATATGTGCCACATTTTCTTTATCTATTCTTCTGTTGAGGGACAAGTAGGTTGCTTCCAGGATCTGGCTATTACAAATAAAGATGCTATGTACATACCTGAGCAAGTGTTCATGTGGTTTGGTGGAGCATCATTTGGATATATGGGCAGGAGTCGTATAACTGGGTCTTGAAGTACATCAATTATTAATTTTCTGAAAAACCACCATATTGATTTCCAAAGTGGCTATACATATTTGCACTCCAACCAGCAATGGAGGGGTATTCCCCTTGCTCCACACCCTTGCCAGCATGAGCTTTTACTTGTGTTTTTTTTTTTTTAATCTTAGCCATTCTGACAGGTGTAATACAAAATCTCAGAACTGTTTTGATTTATATTACCCTTATGACTAAAGATATTGAACATTTTTAAAATGTTTCTCAGCAACATTTGAAATTCCTTTGTTACAAATTCTCTGATTATTGAAGTTTTCATTCTAATAATTCTTATAATTGATAATATCCAAAATCAAAATGCAAAAATTTAATAATTGAATTGCTTGTTCTATTTTAAATTTGCATTTAAAAAAATTATTAATTTGATATTATTTAAATCAGCTTTGCAATAAATTTTATAGCATGTTAATGACAAACTTTTTATAGCTCTGTTTTTTCCCTTCACCTACCCACTTCATCTACTTACAGAGTTTCTACCATTAACCACCAATTGAAACTATTTCTGTAATATTGTGAACTCCCTCTTATCTGTTGATAAATAGGATGAAAGGGAAAAGAGATGAACTAAAGCATATAACAAAAATATAAATGTTCAACTCTTGAAAGCACTATCTCAGAGCCTTACTCTCAAAGACTGAAAAATAAATAAGCACTTATGTACCCGTGACAGGAAATTTCAGTGCATCTTTTATGCATGAGTAGAAATTGTCAGTGCACTAAACTTAAAAAAGAAAAAAAATGAGATTTATATGAATATAAAACAGTTTAAAATATAGAGTAGGGAGTTGGGGAAGAGAAGAGGGCCAAATGAAAGAGGAGTCAAGATTACCCTTAGCAGTCAAAAACACATTCTCATGACAAAAAGCTAAGAATTCTCAGTGCTGTAATAGCCCACTTACCTTTCTGCCCTGACGTTACCTCTATCTTTGGCAAGAGGACACAGTAAGCAACATTTATTACCACAGGAAGCAAAAGGCAAGGGCCTGGATGCTCCATCCATCAGGCCAGGCAGTGCCTAAAGTAGCTAGATGGGTAAGGTCGTTCATGAATGAGTCCATGAAATCATAATTTCTAGTGCTTTCATAAAAGGGAGATTGGAAATGCGGCCAGAGAGCTTTATTTCCTCTGGAGGTGCAGTTATTGCAACTACGGCAGATCTCTCCTAGGTAACAGGCTGCAAGGCAGCCAAGGGATGGTTTGTCAGGTTTGGGAATGATCTGTGGTGATTAGAAATCAATCTGGAGCTCCTCAGATGGGACTGTTAAAGCCTTGAATCCATACACAGGGCTGTTTATTCCAGCTAGCCAAAGCCTAAGCAATTTCTTAGGTCAGCTACAAAAAAGTCAAAGCACAGAACACAGTGAAATAACTGAGGATTAGAACTAAAGAGATCCTTAAGTCTCATTTCCCCTAACCAATAGGGTAGCTGAGCAAATGAC